TGCTTCCTTAAAAATAGCTTCGCTGTACAGATTGAATAACAATGGGGACAGCACGCAACACGGTCTAACACCTCTTTTGATTTCTAAAGTTTCCGTATCGACATTTTCGATTCTAACCGTTGCTTTTTGATTCTAGTACAGATTGACAATAAATAACCGTATATCTCGACAATCCACATTCTTTTGATTCATCAGCTGATTAATTAAATCATAAGCCTGTATTGTAACGAAAGTATTTTGCCTACCACAGGGGGCATTAATATAAGGGGTAGAAAATCGGGGGAAGAAACTAAGGGGGTGGAGATAAGGCAAGCAAAATAATCGCTACTTATGCGAACGGCACTCAGGGTTTCGTAGGAGAGCTGGGGTAGTGGATAAGTAAAAGATAAAGGCATTGGAATGGGGCAACTACAAAAAAAATGAAATAAAGGGCTCTTGGGATAAACAAAATAAAAATAAACAAGAAACATCTCAAGGAATTTAATATAGGGCGCCACTTGAGGTGCCTAATTATACCTATTACAACCACTGGTTGTAACTAGGGAAATAATTAGAAAACAAATCAAAACATAAAAACATATCTTTTTCAAATAAACTCAAAAAAGGGTTAGCTCAAAAAAAATAAAATGTTAAGACAACAAAATTTAACATTTATTTATGTGTCACCACAAAACAGTTACATGGAGAAATACAAATTCAAAAACTTTACATGTGTCATCCATTAACAATCTCCATTGCTACAAAACTTACAAAATTGCATGGAGGTTAACCTTTAAAAAAAAAAAAACAAATCCAACATCAAAAATACTAAAACGAGCTGTCATAAATTAACATTGAATTTAAAAAAAAACTAAACACAAATTGACAGCTTAACTCAAAACCTAAAATTTACAATTTTAAATGTCAACGAAAGCAATTATTATTTCATAAAAAAAATGTCTGTCTTTAGTTTAAATTTGAACAAAATGTTACCTTAATTCACATGATCACACTTAAGTTTCTGAAACCATAACTGGAACTGGAACTGAGGGCTCCACTCTCTCTGCATCACGAAAACCTCCATCTCCAAACTGCCAAAAGCCTTGGATAAAAGCAGGGAACAAAAAAACAAAACGAGGATGTCCTCCAATCCTCACTCAAAACATTAATAATTGAAGCATTTACTGCCACAAAACCAATAACAAACTGCTACATATTCTTCATAACAAAATACGAAAATAGAATACTTTACAAATTCGACGTGAATTTGGACATAACGCTGAACCGCTCTTGAAAGCTGCTCCAACGAGAGTGACGAAATTATCTATTAAAATTGATCGCATAACTTGAACATAAACAAACAACGGAAATAAAAACGTAGATATCTTTTTGCGACGCATAAACTTGAAAAGAATTTGCCGAAGTAAAATAAATAAACAACTCTAAAATGGTTTATTTCAACTTGGCCGACCTAAGAAAGAAATATAAAGATATTGGGTTTAAATACGTACGAAATATTTTTAGATCTATCAAAATATATAAGGTGATTTTAATATTTCGTATGCGAGGGGACTTCAATATACTTAAAAAAAAATCAATGAAATTGAAAATGCTACAGTATCATAACTCTTTGATGATTAATTAAATCATAACCGACATCTGGAATAAATTAGGGGAGGTTTATGTTTAAGTTCGGATGCAGTAGTCTGAATGATGAAGCTTGTTTAAAATCCATAAAGATCTGATGTACGTATTGATTATATTGACATTCAGGAGCTGTTCAAAATATTAATGTCATCTTTCTATAATTTTATTTTCGTCATAAGCATTTCTCCATTTTTATCTCTCCAGAAATCGGGTTTTCTTATAATAGGAGCCGCTCTCATGTTGTGTTACCTTCTTCTGTTTGAAATTGAAGCCTGTCGCAAAATCTATCAATCGTGATCCACTGTCATTTGTAACGTCCTGTAAACTTGTGCCTTCTTCTGAGCTTCTGTGTATAGTTAATTTAGAGAGTCATAAAATTCATTTTTATCATCCTCTCATGCTCCTTAGGTTGGTGCATATACTGAGAATATAGTTAAATGCGACCCTGTACCCTTAAATATTATAAAATGGTAACTTTCCCGTTATAGTTGTAGACAAATACCTGACAAACGAGGGATTATGGGGGTATTACAGCATCCCCTTATAAATATTTAATGATTAATTAGAGTTATTTATTATTAGAAAGAATTTTAATGCCTTGAAGAAGTTAGTTACTAAAATTAAAGTATGAAAAGGTATTAAAAATGAAGATTAATATTTCGCAAAGAAATAATGACCGGTTCGGAGCCTCTGGTATGGGCGGTACTGGAAGAGTTTTAAACTATTCTAACTATTAAACTAAATATCCAATTCCTGGTGAACGAAACCCAAAAAAAAAGAACAAATCTAGTCCCGCGTGACTTCTAATCTTTCCATGTGTGACTTTTTTAGGGATTTTCCAGTATGCAAATTGTAAAGATTATCGAAATTGTGAGATGGCGATTTACTTATGGACTTCACTCACCATTAAAGCCTTTTGATAATCTATAAAGCAGGCATAGAGATCCTGGTTCATATCTAGTCGTCTTTGCGCTAGAAACGATAAAAGCGAACAGATCCTCTCTCGTTCCTAGTCCTCCTCTGATGAAACTCCAAACTGGGTGTGATCTATATATATATATTCTTCTATTTTTTTTTGTATAGTCTTCTATGTATTATTTTGAGAAATACTTTAAGTGTATGGCTTATTAAGGAAATTGTTCTGTACTGGGAGCATTCTGTCACATGTGCTGACTTTGGTACTGTTACAAACGTGGACAGCAACCAATCTTTGGATATTACTCCTGTTGTATATACTTTGTGAACAGATCTAAAAGTATATGCAGTGTTTCTTCGTCAATGCATTTAATTAGCTCAGTGGGTATCTGAGCTGGGCCTACTGATTTTGCGGTCCTTGCATTTCATTTTCGGTCTGTTTGTTCCTGTGGTTCTTTTTGTATCATTTATCATCGTCGAATAGTTTCATCATCTCAGTTATCTTCTATAGAAGCAAGCGAAATTTGCATGTCGAAGTATTTTATTATTCAACATACTCTCTTAATTAAATACTGTTACAAAAAGGGTGTACATATGTGGGAAATTATTAGTATAATTTCCCTGTATGTGGACTGTATTATATAGGGCTGGTTCAATAAAATTAGGATATGTAATAAAAGGTATACAGACAATAGCAAATTAAGTGTATAGAAAGTCTTACCAATATTTTTTCTGCTCCACACTCTCACGGTTGTTTCCGGTCCTCACTCGTGGTTATTCTTTACTCGCGAAATCTGTCCGATTGCACCGGTTTCTGAACACGTGTTTGGCAAAATATATCACGATATAGAGCACACTTTGTCTGCACACGATTTAATACAATATTTTCGATATTTCTCGCGTAACTAAAGCGGGGAAAGAGGTAATTACGATATAAAAACAGCCAAGATAGATGCTGCTCTTCTTGATAAGCGAAGAGAGAGAGAGAGAATTAAAGAGAGAGAGAGAGAGAGAGGAGAGAGGAGAGGCAGAGAGAGAGAGAGAGAGAGTCTGGCTCTAGCGATGGCCAAACTAACAGAGTTCTGTCCTTATCGCCAGCTGATAATCAAGAGAGTATCTTTCTTCTTTGCTATCTTGAAACTGTCTGTATTTCTTAAGAGAGGGGGTTGAACTGTAAGTTAGGAAGGGTTATTAAGGGTTGGACTAGGATAATGATTGTAAAAATGTGATATAAGAAGAGTTAATAATACAGCGAAAAAATGACATGATTTTTCGCATGTGAGAAAATTGAACAGATACATGCATTTCAATGAACCTGAAACACATCTCGAAATGGTTCTTCGGTTAGTACCATTAAACCTAAATCTAAAATAATATTGTTGTGTGTGTGTGTGTGTGTGTGTGTGTGTGTGTGTGTGTGTGTTTGAACATTATTGGCTTCGGAGTCATTCGCCATCTTACCTTTATGGAGTTTAATATTGTTAAAAAAATTACATAATACCAAACTAACCGTTTTCGTTTGAACAGCATCAAATTTGAATATACCGAGTTTTCGACTTCCTCTCTGAAATCTTCACCAGGGCCATCAGTCTCCTGCACCCCTTATCACTTAATTGTACACTATTCAATACACTAATATGCTCACACACGCACCATACACACACACAATTTCGAGAACAACAATGACTTGGATAAAAAATAACAATTTGGAATCTGCATATTGGTATGTGAAAGCGCGTAAACATCGGTCTGTTACTCTCTTTTATGGCCTATATACAGTCCAACTGAATTGGAAACATGTGATACACTTGACCCAGCGATGCTCCAACTTATTTAACATGTCGTTACGGGTTACGTTTTACGTTTTCTTTAGTTCTGCAAAGTAGACTTCCCATTCGCCTTTTTCAAGTTTCAAAATATAAGAAGTCGCACGGGGCCAAATCTGGAGAATATGGCGGATGCGGCAGCAGTTCGTAGCCCAATTCGATCTTTTTTTACGTGGGATGGGGAAGATGTGAGCCGATGGGATGCAAAGCACGTTTTCTTAGGAGCCAAATGTGGTCTCAAACACTGCTTTGAAGTGGTCTCACAACTTTCTCATGTCCAAAATATCATGTGGGACCACGTTTAAACTCGGTAAACCAATTTTCTACGGTCGGAATCCTCTACGAGAATGAAATTATATTTTATATAACGAATATTAATCAGAACCATGCTCAAGTTGTCATCACTATAAAAATGTGAGAAGTATTCTTCTTAATGAAGTTAATATGAGAATGAAAAGCATTCTTAGATTTGCTAAAAGCTTAGCTTCTTAGCTAAAGACTTTTCCAAGATCACTGTAACTCTCCGCCATTTGATTGTTATGGTAATTAGTTTTAAGAAAAAAATGTACCGAAATACTACATACAAATATACTTTTTTAGTTTATATCATTAAATTGTTTTTTTAATTTTTAGCTGGCTGCAGAAAAAGACGTCTCTTTTGATAACGGCCTGGACGGCTCCATTGCTGAAGACTGTTTCTTCGCTATGCGCGCCTACAGCAAAGGCTACACCTTCAACTACATCGAGGGTGAGATGTGGGAGAAATCGCCCTTTACCTTCTGGGACTTCATCCAACAGAGAAAACGCTGGCTCCAGGGTATCTCGCTCGTCGTCCATTCCAAAGCCATACCCGTCAAGAACAAGCTGCTCCTGGCGTGTTCCTGTTACTCGTGGTTGACGTTACCCTTATCGGTATCCAACTTGATCATAGCCGCTAAGTATCCCATACCTTGTCCTCCGTTCATCGATTTCGTCTGCGCGTTTATCGGCGCTGTGAACATCTACATGTTCATCTTCGGCGTCATTAAATCTTTCACGATATACAGATTTGGGTTGTTTAAACTCACCCTGTGCATTGTCGGTGCCGTCATCGTCATACCTTTTAATTTAGTTATCGAAAACATAGCAGTGTTGTGGGGCATTTTCGGAAAGAAACACAAATTCTATGTGGTGAATAAAACGAACGGACCCTCGCTTACCAGTACCGTGTAACTGGTTAAATTATTAGAAAGCGTAGAGGAGTCACTACCCAGTGGTATTTTTGTAACCTGTAAATCAGGTCAAATAATTTTGTTGTTTTAATTTTTTTTAATTTTGTTAAAAATAGAAAACATACGAGTCCAATAAATGCCGTGCTTATGAGATGAACTCTTAAGAATGAGAGTACCTTTTTCTAAACGACTTAGAAGATTACGGCAGACCAGAGACCTGCCACATCATACGAGACATCTGCTGTATATCAATAAAAATGACCATCACAATCTATTATGTATTTATTTCTCCGATAAATCCTTAAAAAAGTACTCCAGTGTCAAGAATTAGAGCAGTAGCGTTTCTTGATGACATTTGTCACGCTAGAAGCCACCAATCCGTCACAAAATTGTATACGTTTTAATAATTATATTCAAATCACCTTCCCATCTGAAAAAGTGCCTGTTTGCGCATGACTTGCGCTTGTCACTTGTCAAGTTTGACAGCCTACTTGAAATCTTGTCAAATTCGACAGTTTTACAATCTCTTTAGAGATGTAATTACAATTAATTCACTTTCACCAAATACCTTAATCCAAATACAAATACATTAATACACTTTTACCAAAATTATCAATTTCTTTTATTTTTAACAAATATCTATTTGAGAGGAATTTATAAAAAAAATTCTGTATCTTATTTATGTTTATTCTTTACAACTGATTCTGAATTCTGCCCGGTATTAGCTTCAATATTTCTTCAGCATTACCCTTCTCTTTTTACATGTAAAAAACTCTTGGTTATATTATATTAATTTGTTTTTCATTTTTTCCGATAAGGAATTTGACAAGTTTTAAATGTGACAACAGCGCAATACTTAATTAAATTCCACTCTTCATTAATTGTCCACTAGAGGCACATTGTTTTTGATAGTGACTGCTGTCAACAAATCTTTGCAGTATTCATACGTGACTCTTCCTATAACTGACCACTTCCTAGAGAAACGCATACGTTAAGTCTTGTTTTCTATTTGTGGGTACAAACCGCCGGGAGAAGTGCTCTTAGCGTATATTTCGTTGACAATTTAGATATAGGTAATCAGTCTGACAGTTTCGCATTATCAGATACATATCTGTTGTTTGTAGTAGATACGCAGGATTTACATATGAGTACATTAGCAAAATCTAGGATATACTCTAGAAAAAACATTGCAATAATTTTTCGTGTGTCCGTACAAGAATTTAATCTCACTTATTACATTGTCGACGTATATATCCGTTCAAGTCCTGATCCCGACATTAGTGTATGATGTCAGTATACATGAATGAATAATTTAACGTTTTTTCCCAGTCAGTGGTAATTTGATGGGAATCTGATAAGGGCGACAAGGATCAAACAAGAGCTTAATATGGTATGGATATATCCGTTTTCACTTTTACTGGAAACAAGGATATCTGGCCTGACTTGACTGTAAAGATGACGTTTTTTTCTCACTCAGTGTAAGGTTAATATAAGAGTGATAAAGTTGACAATGATCTGGTTAACTGTTTAAAAACTTTTTAGGGATGCATCAGTCATAAATTTTAGTGGAAACAATGGTATCTGATATTCGCTGACAAAAGTTATGATATCATTCAACAGTGATACTTATATTATCGATGTAAAATCATCAAACATAAAAAGTGCATTAAATCACGTTGATGACGTATATATCCGGCATTGTCTAATTTCTCCATGAATAGTGTGTGTGTCTAGTTCTTTACACATTTAATCAAAAATCATCAGACATAAGTGCATTAAATCACGTCGATAGCGGATATATCCGTCAAAGTCTAATTTCTCTATAAATAGTGTGTGGGACTAGTCCGTTATGCTTACCATATCTGTGTAAATATTTAATAAAGAGGTCATTGTTCGTTATGACATGAGTCAATTATATGGACGCATCAGTCATCAATTTAAGTGGAAACAAGAGTATCTGATATTCGCTGACAAAAAGTTATATCATTTAACAGATTGTACTTATATTATCCATGTAAAATCATCAAACATAAAGAGTGCTTTAAATCACGTAGATGACGGATATATCCGTCAAAGTCTAATTTCTCTACGAATAGTGTGTGGGACTAGTCCATTACGAACCCCTTCCCATATCAGTTGGCCCAACGTTAGATTAATAAGAAAATTAAATTTTATAGAACAAAAATAACTTTTTCATTTCGCTCCACAAAGTCTCTATCGGGGACAAGTCGTGACTGTTAGAAACCCATTCCAGAAGTGGTAAGCCATGGTCTTGAATCCATTTTACTCTTTTTTGAAGTATGACAACCTACGCCGTCTTGTTGGAAGACAAAATCTTCCGCTTATGTTAAACGGTGTTCCATAATTGGTAATAGAAATTCTTCTAAAATATTCAAATATCTATCCGTATTTATAATCCCATCAATAAAATGTAACTTTTCCACACCTCTAGAGACATGCTGCCCGAGATCATGACAGATGAAGGAAATTTGACTTTTCCCTTCAGACAGTCGGGATGGAAAGCTTCCTGGACTCATCACTTCATTGTATTGAATCCCATTGCGACTGAGTCCAATCTGTATGCTCTTTTGACCATCTTAGTCTATTTTTCTTTTGTTGTAATGTTAAAAGGGACTTCTCCTTAGCCTAAAATAAAATGAAATTTATTAAAAACAATTCGTACTAATTTTTTCAACTATAAGACTTCCTTTGTAAGTACCAAATCCTAATTTGTGGGCCTTTCGGTGACATGTTGATCTAGAAAAGTGTCTTCCAATATCGTCACTCCATAAAACGCTTAACTCCATATAATTTGCTCGTCGATTTTTCACTATAATGCGTCTTAATGCCCTTCGATCTGCTTCGGTTATCTTACTTTTTCGTACACTATAGCGTGACAATTGCAACATATTTGCGATTTCTGAATTGGATTTTCCAGAATTAAATTCTGGAATTCCAAAAATAATACATTGTTGTGTTGTTTGGTAGCAAACTCCCCAGAAAACTGTCAATTGTCTCACGCCAGGATGACATCTCTCGTGTTATCTGTCATTTGTTACATTTTCTTGTCATCTGTCATTTATTTGGTGCCGTAGTTTCCTTGTGTCTTACATGTGAATGTCTTGTGACATTGGGAATGTGATTTTTCTGATGATTGGTTCTGTTAGACAAGGCAGTTTGAAGAATGAATTATAAAACTTAAAAAATTTACCCTTTGTTGGACTCTAAGTACATCCTGCGAATCTCCTGCACATCTAAAGTTGAAGTTTTTTTGGATAAAACTACAAGAATCAAAATTATTTTTTTAGACACCCAGAAATTTAGAATTTCTTGGTCATATGTCATTTGTACAATCTCATATGCTCAATACTTAGTAGTATTAATAACTTAACCAAAGAATAAAACTTATTTAACAATTCAGTGACTGTATTAATGATAGCTTGAGTATGCTTGGGCCTGGTTTATTCCAAAGTAGTAATGTCAAATATTTAAAGATCGGTTGGGAAATAAAACTGATATTAAAGAAAGCAGAGAAATCTATGGTGTTAAGTTCTGGATGGCTGGATGGTGGTTTCTTAACATGGACTTTTAAATTTTTAGTATATTGGAGCAGGAATGTTATATTCTGACTGTTTTTTTTTTGTTTTAGAAGATATAAGCAAGAGCGCTCTGTAATAGTAGTACACCTATTGATCGTTTTATTATCAATATTGTTGTAGTTTGACCGGAATTTCTGACAATATCTTAATGCTACATGAGGCTAGGAATATATGCTCCGTTTAACTTTCATATGGATTCGGCATGTATAGGAAATCTGCAGAACGAATTTAAAATCCAGAAAAGCCATCAGCCATTCAAGCTCGCTTAAAGAAACTATAGTTTTGGAGATAAACCACGCCCGATCGAAGAATTTTGTTGTTGTTTTTGTTGATTGTTAATTTTTATTTAAACTCGTCATTTATGCTTCTCCAAACTTCCAAGAATTCTTTCGAAATGCTTATAATGCCAAAATTTACCTTTAATGTACATACATTACGTAGGAAATACCAAGATGATTATATTGAATATAACGGAGCTTTTATTGTACATAAACTTTATCACTTAGATCAATTTTTACTATAAGTGCACAGTGAGTCCGCGAAAGCTCTGTTCCAGCTGTACATAGGATATAAAGATTAATGCATAGGTACGAGTGTAGACCTTAAAGACATTTGTGGCTGTTTTTTTTTTGTTTAATTGAGATTAACTAGATGCTTCATGTTTTCTTCATAGCATAACTCTGAGATTTTGTACATATTTCTTAATATAGGAATTAAAAGTACTAGTATTGTTGTAACATAAGTACATAACAAAAAACACTAAAAGATGTCGCTCTATTAGAGACTACTAATCATAAAAATCAATAAGAAAGTATAGAAAGCAGTAGTTCCATAAAGAGGCTGTAAAAACTGCAAAAATTGTAATTTTTTTTACCTCTAGCAGCTTTGTGAGAAAACATGAGGCATCTGTAACTTAATTGATGGATCTCACTACCTTAATAGACTATTTTTGTTAAAGACATTAGCTACTTCTTAAGCCGCCACGAATTCAAGTCGGTTAGCTTTAAATTTAAAACGAGCAGCTTTAGGCCGTTCTGGCACATGGTCAAAAGCTAACTGGTGAAAGTATCATCCGGAACACATTTGTAATAGAATATAAGCCTATTTGTAACGTACTTATTCTTTTTCTTCTCCAGAAAGTAAATAATTTTGAGATGCATTTACTCTATTTGTTTTTTTTTTGTCCCAATTAACCTTGTTCCAAGAATTTCCCTCAGATATAAAGTGAAGAAATATGGAAGTTAAAGATAGTCCAAACACTCTCTGACCATGGAGCTGCGCGAAGGCGGAGTCAAAATTCACGTAAACGCAGAAAGGTTCTATTGTAAGCCAAATTTCATCTACTGCGCCGTGGTAGGGAGAAAATAAAAGCAGCATAGACATAACTCAATACCAAATGTGACGCTATTGAAAAACTTAGGCAAAACTTGAAGAAAAACCTTAAGCATATTATCTACCAACCATATACTTATAAATAATAATAGAACAGTCATATGGATTTATGTCAAGCTACTATATAATAAGGTGTTTAATAAATTACCTAGGACAAATTTCACAGGCAGAGCAGAATTTATATCGATAACAATATCGGCAAAAGAGATCATTGGTCTATAAATGGAAAGTTGGTAAGTAAGAGGTAGGTCCTTATATTTTAACTCATGCTTTTGATGGATAGATAATACTTTAGGGTTATTCTGCAATTTTTTTAAAAAAAACTATATTACAATTCTTACAAATCACACAACCTGAGTGATTTTCCATGATTAAATATATACAGTACAGTTTGTTAGGCTTACGTAAACCCGGTTCATTTCTTATAACATAAACTCGATAAAAATACACTGACCATTGTAAGGCGGTGCATTTGTATCGGTTTTTAAGAATGTGAACAATTTTTTGTAGTTGAATTACGATTAAAACCGCATTACTTTTAAAAGACAAAACAAAAATATACTCTTATTGGAAGTAAAAAATATGTCCTAATAAAATAAGAAATACTTCTTTATGCCCTACAGAAATCGTTTAAATATTTGACCTTCTACGGTTGAACAGTATACCAACCTGTCATAAAAACTTCTGCGGACATATGTAAGAGTTTCTGCTGTAAAAGAATTGGAGACTTCTCTTATTCGGTTTTTTTAATTCATCCAAATTTTGGGCTCTAGCCTCAGGATGATCGTAAATAATGCGTTTTAAATGTCCCCAAAAAAAGAAGTCCATGGGTGTAAAATCTGGAGATCGCGCAGACCACTTATCGCCTGTTCCACTGATAACTTAATTCGGGAAAATATTGTTTAAATACTCCCTAATTATTTGAGTTGTAGTGAACTGAACAGCCGTTTTGATGGAACCAAACATTTTCCAGATTTACATCAGGAAGATTGAGAATAGCGGGAAGAACATGATTCTGTAACAAATCGAGGTATACTCTACTATTCAAGTTGCCCTCAATAAAAAAATGGACATATGTGGTCCCCTACAATGCCAGTCCAGACGTTAATTTTTTGAGGACGTTGAGTTCGGTAAACAACAATTCTTTGCTATTTTTCCCGCACCCAATAACTCTTAATGGAAGGATTATAACTCCCTACTAACTAAACAAAAGATTCATCAATAAATAAAATGTTTTTAATAAAATTGGGTTCATCATTATCCTTCGTTAATAGAGTTTAACAAAACTCCACTCTTCGAATGTACTCATTTGAATAAAGCTGTTGCGTTTTTCATATTTTCGTTACAGTAACATTGCTAAGATCTAATTCTAGAGCAACGCTTCTATTGAACGTGTTGAAGCTATCTCGATTGTTGCATAAATTTGTGTATCGTGGTCTCTTTCCTCAACTTTTTCTATTGACACTTCTTGAATATGCAACAAAATTATAACATTTCTGCAATTTTTAAGGCAATAACAACTCTCAAAATTTTTAACAATATTATGAACTGACTGTATGCAAGGAATTGGTCTCCCCTCAAAAAACACTGATGTGATATTAACCTACTTGGTTAATAAAGAAGAATAAAAGAAAGAAGCATACGCTATTGTTGAATCTCTAAAGAAGTGGCGCCATTTTATTATAGGAAAGCCTTTCACAATCATTATTGATCAAAAGTCGGTAACATTTATGTTCAACACGAAGCATTCCAGCAAGTTTAAAAATGAGAAAATACAAAGACAGCGACTTGAATTGGTAGCTTATAAATATGACATTGTGTATGACCAGGGGAAAAAGACAACCAAGCAGCGGATGCTTTATCACGCATCTGCTCTTGTGCTACTACCACGGAGGCAGGTGCATCAAAACTCAAGTCACTTCACACTGCACTGTGTCATCCAGGGGTAACACGTATGTTTCATAGGATAAAATCGAAGAATGTGCCTTTATCTTTCAATGAAGTCAAGACTATCACTCGTGAACGTGGGGTAGTGTGCTAAAATCAAGCCGAGGTACTTTAAGAATTAGGTGCTTTTCCCATCATTATGTCTGCTGATATCCAAAGTAGGACAAGATCTATGAATTTAGATCATAAAGGCCAATCGCCGTACTATCCATATTCTCAAAGGTGTATGAAAAATTACTACTTCGAAGAATGAACCATATAATAGAGCAAAAAAATAATACTTCGACACACCAATTTGGATTTCGTGATAAACACTCAACAGTTGACCATATCCATCGAATAATAACTGAAATAGAGAAATCGTTGGAAGAGGACAAAATTTGTTCAACAGTTTCCTGGATATCGAAAAAGCATTTGACAAAGTATGGCACGAAGGTCTGTTAATAAAGAAAATGTTTCCTATACAATTCATTGAAATATTGCAGTCACACCTACACAAGAGAACACAACTTTTTTTAGTGGGACATAAGTGAAACTTTCTGTTTCTGGTTAAGGGCTTTCCACAGCACATGGTCGACCATGCAATAAACTGCAGCTGCTATTCAGAACTCAATGGTCTACCTGAAGATACATACAAGTAAGTATGTAGATTCAGCATCATCTGAACATTCTACAATCCTGTAGAATAGGATCCTTCAATCCTGAAGATAACAAAATTTGCCATAAGTATCATTTTTAAATTCTATTTGTTAAGATTTGCTGTTTTTTTTTCATTTTAATAAAAAAAAGACTGTGCTATGTATATCGATATAAAAAGGTTATGAACTTGTCAAACTTTGCCCACAAATTGATCTCCTTTTAGAAAGATATTAACAAAGACCTTATTTTTCTTCCAATTATCTTCAATTATGTATTTAATACAAAGTATTTGACCACTCAGCATTATTACAAAGCAATCTTCTTGTAAGATCATTGTTAGATATGTATTCAAAAATATAATTTGTAATGTGATTTGCCGCGTAGTTTTCAGATTCAGTTCAAGATATGGCAAAAGTCAATCTCCATTTCTCTGTCGTTTACCTGTTTGTTTACCAATAGAAGTACAAATTATCAGATTAATTTGTTTATGTTTCCAGATACGGAATAAGGATTCTTATTGAAAATAAGTTTGTATTAATAAATTGTATTTCTACAATCATTTAAAAAAGAATTTTCAATCAAAATGGTTTTTTTTTATGAATTTAAAATTAAAAATCAATATTTAAAATGTTTAAATATTGATGGCGAAAAAAGTGTACTGAAATGTGTTTCATTATTGTTCATAATACATATCTGAAAGTAGACTATTGCATTTTTTTTAGTTTGAGCTCCACCATTTTTCTACATGCATTTCGAGATTTTATCTCCCATCAGGAAGACTTGTAATAGCTCTAATTCAAATAAAAACAGCATATTTAACAATATATGTCTTTTTAAGGCGCGGTGCATATTAAACCCAGCCGAGGCCCAGCACACGCGGTTGAAATGCGTGGACAGTTTTGTGAAGCACGGTTAGAAGCGAGGTACCACAAATTAAACCCACTCTACGACCAGCTCAAGCACACGCCGGTCACACATACCATGGGTCACACAGAAAGGTTTGTCATTTGTTGTTTACTTCTATTTGTTTAAAAAAAAAAAAAAGAGGTTAATCTTTGTAAATGGGTATATTTATTGTAAATGTAAATTTATTGTAATGTATTGTAAATGTATAAATAAATATACCCATTTACAAAGATTAACCTCTTTTTGTTATACGTGGTATACAGCCAGCTACAGGAATTTTTCCTTGTGGATTTTATTTGTTTTTGTTTCCGAGATGGAACTCGTTAGCGTTAGGGATATGAAGGCGAAATTGAAAGATGAAGGCCACGGTGATAGCACTTGGATGGGTTCAATATGCGCTGTCTAGAAAAATAAATGCACGGGTCGCCCGTTGCCTCGGCGTGTGCTGAGCATCGGCTGGGTTCAATATGCGCCATGGCCAATAGCACACCTAGAATTTTCCTCTGGGGGGGGATGGTTTTGGTTGGGCACAAAATTTTTTTATGCTACCTCCACCATTTTGTCCTTAAAATTTGTAAATTACAGTGTCTGAGTAGGGTTCTGGGGGGGTTAACCCCACTGGGTGCGCCACTGCGCCTGGCCTAATGTTAGGTGTCTATGCTGCGATACTGCATTGTCTCGGTGTTCGTTCTTGTTGGTTGGCTTTCTTTGTTTTATGTTTTGGTGTCCTGTTATAGGTTTTTCACCTCTTCAGGACGTGGTTTGTTTTTGATTGGTTGGCTTTCTGGCTGTGTGGTTCCACTGGTGGTAGGTTTCGTGACTTTTCGGCGCAGGAGCTTCCTGGACAATCACAGGTGAAAGGGTTGTTGAGTAAACGGTCCTTTTCAGAATTTTGTTTGCTAAAAAATATTATGAATCTGTGAATTTATATGTATACAATTTGATAAATAATAAAGGTATTGAATCGTGATTCGCGTGAGGGCATCTGTGGCTGTATCCTCTGTAATAGACAGGTATCATTGTGCAATGGGATCGGGAAACCATAGAAAACCGATCCCTCCCTGTGTAGGTAAGCTTCGAAGTGAGCATTTACTGGTTAATGCGACGATAGTAGAGGGGAGTTGCCTCCTGTCTGTCAATGTATTCATCAGGGAGCTCGTTGCTGGAAAGGGCCAGTAGTATTGTGGATAGGAAAGGGATTTTGGGTTTAGGTTTTCTTCTGAATACATTGCCGATGGATGAGCAGGTAGTTTTCAGTATGTTTTGGGCTCTGAACTT